ACACCATTTGGTTTAAATAAAATGAGACACCATATATTACCATACAGCGGACGTACGTTATACGGCTACCAGCCGTGAATATGATTTCATGCTGCAAACTCTCTAATATCACCATTCATACTCCATATACCATACAGCGGACGTACGTTATACGGCTGCCAGCCGTGAATATGGTTTCATGGTGCAAACTCTCTAATATCACCATACAACCACCATATACCATGCCAGCCGTGAATATGATTTCATAGTGCAAACTCTCTAATATCACCATTCAACCACCATATACCATACAGCAGACGTACGTTATACGGCTGCTAGCCGTGAATACGATTTCATGCTGCAAACTCTCTAATATCACCATTCAACCACCATATACCATACAGCCGACGTACGTTATACGGCTGCCAGCCGTGAATATGATTTCATGCTGCAAACTCTCTAATATCACCATACAACCACCATATACCATGCCAGCCGTGAATATGATTTCATGGTGCAAACTCTCTAATATCACCATTCAACCACCATATACCATACAGCAGACGTACGTTATACGGCTGCCAGCCGTGAATATGATTTCATGCTGCAAACTCTCTAATATCACCATTCAACCACCATATACCATACAGCAGACGTACGTTATACGGCTGCCAGCCGTGAATATGGTTTCATGCTGCAAACTTTCTAATATCAGCATTCATACACCATATACCATACAGCGGACGTACGTTATACGGCTGCCAGCCGTGAATATGATTTCATGCTGCAAACTATGTAATATCACCATTCATACACCATATACTATACAGCGGACGTACGTTATACGGCTGCCAGCCGTGAATATGATTTCATGCTGCAAACTCTCTAATATCACCATTCAACACCATATACCATACAGCCGACGTACGTTATACGGCTGCCAGCCGTGAATATGATTTCATGCTGCAAACTCTCTAATATCACCATTCAACCACTATATACCATACAGCAGACGTACGTTATACGGCTGCCAGCCGTGAATATGATTTCATGCTGCAAACTCTCTAATATCACCATACAACCACCATATACCATGCCAGCCGTGAATATGATTTCATGCTGCAAACTCTCTAATATCACCATTCAACCACTATATACCATACAGCAGACGTACGTTATACGGCTGCCAGCCGTGAATATGATTTCATGCTGCAAACTCTTTAATATCACCATACAACCACCATATACCATACAGCAGACGTACGTTATACGGCTGCCAGATGTGAATATGATTTCATGGTGCAAACTCTCTATTATCACTATTCAACCACCATATACCATGCAGCAGACGTACGTTATACGGCTGCCAGCCGTGAATATGATTTCATGCTACAAACTTTCTAATATCAGCATTCATACACCATATACCATACAGCGGACGTACGTTATACGGCTGCCAGCCGTGAATATGATTTCATGCTGCAAACTATGTAATATCACCATTCATACACCATATACTATACAGCGGACGTACGTTATACGGCTGTCAGCCGTGAATATGATTTCATGGTTTAAACTCTCTAATGTCACTATTCAACCACCATATACCATGCAGCAGACGTACGTTATACGGCTGCCAGCCGTGAATATGATTTCATGCTGCAAACTCTCTAATATCACCATTCAACCAGCATATACCATACAGCAGACGTACGTTATACGGCTGCCAGATGTGAATATGATTTCATGGTGCAAACTCTCTATTATCACTATTCAACCACCATATACCATACAGCGGACGTACGTTATACGGCTGCCAGCCGTGAATATGATTTCATGCTGCAAACTCTCTAATATCACCATTCAACCACCATATACCATACAGCAGACGTACGTTATACGGCTGCCAGCCGTGAATATGGTTTCATGCTGCAAACTTTCTAATATCAGCATTCATACACCATATACCATACAGCGGACGTACGTTATACGGCTGCCAGCCGTGAATATGATTTCATGCTGCAAACTATGTAATATCACCATTCATACATATACCATACAGCGGACGTACGTTATACGGCTGCCAGCCGTGAATATGATTTCATGCTGCAAACTCTCTAATATCACCATTCAACACCATATACCATACAGCCGACGTACGTTATACGGCTGCCAGCCGTGAATATGATTTCATGCTGCAAACTCTCTAATATCACCATTCAACACCATATACCATACAGCGACGTACGTTATACGGCTGCCAGCCGTGAATATGATTTCATGCTGCAAACTCTCTAATATCACCATTCAACCACTATATACCATACAGCAGACGTACGTTATACGGCTGCCAGCCGTGAATATGATTTCATGCTGCAAACTCTCTAATATCACCATACAACCACCATATACGGCTGCCAGCCGTGAATATGATTTCATGCTGCAAACTCTCTAATATCACCATTCAACCACATATACCATACAGCAGACGTACGTTATACGGCTGCCAGCCGTGAATATGATTTCATGCTGCAAACTCTTTAATATCACCATACAACCACCATATACCATACAGCAGACGTACGTTATACGGCTGCCAGATGTGAATATGATTTCATGGTGCAAACTCTCTATATCATTCAACCACCATATACCATGCAGCAGACGTACGTTATACGGCTGCCAGCCGTGAATATGATTTCATGCTACAAACTTTCTAATATCAGCATTCATACACCATATACCATACAGCGGACGTACGTTATACGGCTGCCAGCCGTGAATATGATTTCATGCTGCAAATATCACCATTCATACACCATATACTATACAGCGGACGTACGTTATACGGCTGTCAGCCGTGAATATGATTTCATGGTGCAAACTCTCTAATATCACCATTCAACCACCATATACCATACAGCGGACGTACGTTATACGGCTGCCAGCCGTGAATATGATTTCATGCTGCAAACTCTCTATTATCAGCATTCAACCACCATATACCATACAGCGGACGTACGTTATACGGCTGCCAGCCGTGAATATGATTTCATGCTGCAAACTATGTAATATCAGCATTTATACACCATGTACCATACAGCATAGGTATATGTTATAGAGCTACATGCAGTGTTTTAAATGTTATAGTTATAATATTAATGGTGTTTTGTTATGGTTGCATTAAAGGCTTTTTCAAGAGCAATATCGACAACAATATACCACCACTACACACCCAATGGTTTATTTATTACATATATTTTGCATAACAGAAAGGATAGGATTAAAGAAATATGACATTATTTGAAAATTTCTCTTTGCTTGTATGTTCAAACTGCAATAGGTGAACAATCTGAGGAAGATTGCACATTCCACACTACAATTACTAAGAATGCCTGTGGATAAAAATAAAATCATTGAAATACTTCTCAACATTTATTGACACATATATGTCAATAACATATATATACATGCAAGTACTATAGCTTTTATTTTGCATATGCATGGTTCTTGCATGACGAAGTATGCTACAAGTATCTCTACTTCCATGATCAGTTCTATAGTGAACATTTCTGTTCTGATATCATCCTAAGCCTTTTTGTTTTCTCTGGGCTTTTTGATAAGGAGTTGTGCTATCAACTTCACTGATCCTTTCGTCTAATCCTTCATCCTCTATTTCAGAAAATATAATTTGCTCATGTATCTCATCATCATTACTTTCTTGTAAAAACCTTGTAGGCTGAGCAACCTTCTCCATTTCTGTGAGACCATCATGATGATGAATGACTACAGGAACAGAAGGCTTGAATTAGGCAACTTTTTTTACACATATCAGCAAATATCACTTAGATGGTACATATTTGATATAATTTGACCTACAGTTTCTGCAGTCCTTACCTATAAATCATTGCAAAGTTGCATAATTCATATAAACCATTGATATAAAGAAACCAAAATAAATATGTACCCCATACTAGTTATATCATCAAGCCAGATGCCTAACAAAATTGCCTTACTTTGAAAAATTAAAGAAAAATACCACAATAAAACTGTTAAAAACTGTTATAAGAGTAAACTCTTTCCAATTGACTGACTCATAGCCCAAAGAAACATTATTAGAATCTTGTAATTGTAAAAGATGGCGTCGTTTATTCCAGAATTAAATTCATAACAAATAAAAATATTCGCATTTTCCAGCAGAATCTCATGTACTTCTAAAGTTCAGTATTTTACCACTTCATTCTTTAAAATTATAAACGTAATTTTTCGTTTAACTTCAGATTTAGGTAGAGAATTTCTGTAGAAACTATAATTGGCAGAACTCAGCGTACAAACAGACGTACGTTACACGGCTGACAGGCTCAGCCCGTCCGTTTGGGGTGTTTTTTACCGGCTAATAGCCGTATGGAAACAGACGAAACGGGTGAAAAATGGCCAACTTTACAGAGCTATTGCGAGCAAAGTAAATGAAATAAAACTCCTATTTTCGCCCATGTTCTTGATAATATAACAAAGAAAAATGGCCTTTTTAAATTTTTCGATTTCCCTTAAAAGCAAAGCGGCCACATCGGTTTGTTTAAAAACTAGCAACTCCAGCTCCGGGTTCGCTCGAATCCGGAGCCAGCTCCGGGTTCGCGAACCCGGAGCTGAATATCTTGTCATTTTGAATGTATTTATGTATTAATGATTGATGTATTTTTGGATGTTGCTATTAAATAAGGTTTTTCATTCGTTAATACTATGTTTACTATTCTTCAAATGTATAATAAAACAATTATTGAATTCGGTTTTTGTGATATGCAGAGTTATCAAGGTCTCGGTAAGCGTTATCAAAAACCTCATCCAATAATCGTTTATAATATTGTTGCTAAAATCAGTAAAATGCTAACGTGGTTGCTAAGGAGGCATTGATCTAGCCAATCAGTGCTTGGCTTAGCATCCGGGACTTGAATTATCCCCCATTATCGCGCTCCCCTTTCGAATGATGTTTTCAATACCAATGTGTTATTTATAATCTCTATGGTTTATTGGGTTTCTGTTTCTCTTTGAGTCTTTATATTTCTTCAAAGTCTGTGTTCGTAATTTGTCAAAATGATCGTATTCTTGGACTAGAAAATCCCAAAGTGATCCTGATTCGTCGTAGGTGATCAACGTATTCATTGAGAAAGCTGAAGTTGTTTTAACAAGGTTTTATATCGACGCAGTCAAGTACAAAAACAAAAACATACGGCTTTGGGCTAGTCGTGGTAATACAGACTAGACAAGACCAGATTGTCGAAGGTATGTGCTAGATTCCTTGTGAGATTTCTCTCATATTGCGATATACGTATGCGGCCTTGTCTATTTTGCTTTAAATTACAATGTTTTGACCGGGTTGTTTGGTTTATATTGGCGTTTCGTATATTGGCGTTTCGGTTTATCTTGGCGTTTAGTATATTGCACATTGTTGCTTATATATACAGTATGTCGCCCAGTTTATTCTTCGCCTTTTATCATCGCTTGATAGTTCAAAATTTCAAGATTTGTTGCCATATTTGTTTCGAAACTTATGTTAAAAGAAAATGCGCCCAGCTTCGTTATTTTTGTTGCGATTGCTCAAAATCATCATGAATATTGTTGTCCAGTTTTTGGACATTCGCCCAGTTTGCGGACGGGCAATTTATACTCTCAAATGATCGTGATTTGACGCTTAGGTACGCTGAATTTTGGTATTAACTTTTGAAATTCAATGTAGCATAAATATAACAATTTATTTTAAACAATTGTTAAAGTTAATGTTATTTTTCTGGCATTTGGTCTATGGCACTTCTAATTTTAGAGTGCACTGCAGCCATATCTAGTTCTTCTTTATAATACACTCGTATTGCACTATATAATCAAGAATTGGCGTAAAAGCATATTTTTGCATCATTTTGCATCTTCCTAAACGTTTTTGCAATGAAAAACTACGAGTTGCATTATTGCTTGTTTAACAGCACGCCGGTGTCCGAAATTAGGACAAGATATACAAAAATGGCATAAAGATTCAAAATCTCACTACATCGTAAATATGCGGAAAGAGTCGCACATTTTTACCTTAAACATAAAGGAGATTTTTGAACTCCTTTTTATGTAAAAATTGTTACATTTGGTGACTGGGCTCCTAAGAAATTAGTTTTTGAAATGTTCATACAAATTTGTGTCGCGGTAAACTACCCAATTTTTAAAGAAAAATTATTGGCCTACCTTCGCTAAAAATGCATAACTCCGAGGAAAGCAAATAAAAAACCCGTCAAAACGCAAAGACATTCGCAACATATCAGAAAATGATCGGAAGATATTGTTTGAATTTTTCCTTTTGTTTAAGAAACGAAAATTTAGCAATGTATTAAACTCAGCTGTCCGAATACTGGTACAGTCTTTGGCGTCGCCAGTTTGGCGTCGCCAGCTTCGTAAGTGGGGGGAACTTATTCATATATTCGTGTTTTACATTATTTCTTTTCAAATTGATTGTTTTAATGGTCTGTAAACATGAATATATGAATATGTCCACCCCACTTATCGATGTTGGCGACGCCACTGGGTACAGTCCGAAAACTGGGCGAAATACTGTATATATTGCTTAGTAAACAAAAGTATTCACAATTTGATTTAGCTGGGTAAGGGAGGAATTTATTTTTCAACGTTTTGTAGTTAATATCCTCTGCAAAATAATACACCAGTCAGCGCTATTATTTTGTTTCATGAATTCTGCCGTAAAATGGTCGTATTAAAACACATCTAATTTTCAATTTATATATATAGCACGGTAGTACTTCCCTAGTTTTAATAACACAGGAAATCAATTTTAATCAATTTCACTAATTCATTTAGACCAGAGTCCAGAAATATCTTTCAGGGGGAATATAATCATTTCATTCATTTCTTACATGTCCATTTTAAAACATTTTATTCGACCCATTGTTAGGAAAATTGTTCGGCAACAGATTTGGTTGAAACCATCCTGGAACTGGATAATATATTCTAATTTATTCTTCATGCAATTTATTGCTTAAACCCACCTGATCATGATCAAACAATATATGTTATATCGATGCAAATATCATATGACTAAAAGACTGAGATATGTATTAAGAGGAGATTTTTTAGAATATCGAGTAATGAGCGCTCAAAAATACCGTCATGCCTTGCGCGAAAACGGAGCGAATTATTGTTTTGGTTGAATGGCGGAGTTAAAAAGTTGATTTGGTGAATTACCAGCGTCAATATTCCCGTTGGGTGCATTACGATTTCAAGATAAACACAAGAAATGAATTGTCCGTAATAAATTCAGTTTAGCCTAGGATATCAGCAAGGCTGACACCTTATTTTTGGACGAAAACGACTGCGGCTATTTTGGGAGAGAGCTTAGAAGGAGTGATGTTTGGCTACCGAACTTTTCCAGGTACGGCTAATTTTGCTGCTTTATTTTTATATTTAATACATTTATTGCGGGTAAAAGTACCCCTGTGGTGACGATGTTTGACCACTTTATGCAGATATTCTAAAATCAGGTTGTCATTGCATTTTAATGTCTCTTCAATTATTCATTATTTCCCGAGAGTAGTTTATTTTGGTTTCTTGCCATTCATTGTATTCCTTTGTATATTTTGTGATATTTTGGACGCAATCGTGCGTAAACATCAAGACAAAGTATAGGCAGTCATAGCTGAATAATGTCACTTTTTATTGACGTAATTTGTTTTCCATAAAACCATAATTAAGTCAGATATTAAGTCAGGTTTTCTTTACACATTTGTGTGAGACTAGCTCCATTTCTACAAAAATTTTGAAATGGTAAAAAATGTGAAAAAATATGATTTTCCACTTATCCATGCTTGGGACATTTGTATGCTTTTATCTATGAACTGTTGAGCTAGTGATAGTTAAATATGCATATTTTGGAGGAAATCTGAGCGGGAGGTCCTCGCAATAATTTTAATATTTTGACCTGAGGTCTGCCATTTTGTTTGCCTTTTATTACAAATAGCATGTCTTTTTATTTTAGTATAAAGTTGTAAAATTCATTGTTTGCTTTTAAGAAACACTATATAGTTATGATCTATATATTCTTGGAATACAAATTATTTGGAAAATTCAAGTCATTAACTGTTTCATAAAAGTAGTGCTAGTAAATATGAAAATCACCCAAAAGATTCAGATGTGTTTTATGAAAATATGTTATTTTTCCTTAACTATATGTGGGACACTCATAAGCTATTGTGTGTGCTGAAATAACATGCTCAGTGTTAATATATCTCTTTTTTAAGGAAATCGGGGCGGGAGGTCCTCGCACAATTTTGCCTTTTACACTAGCTTTTCTTGTTTCATTGCAGTGCATTTTGTTAAGGTGGCTCTATGAGGTTTATAAACTTGTGAGAACCTGTTATGTTTTAGAAAAAATCAAAGCCAACAGTCCTTGCAGATTTTGGTCATTTTCATTGGTTTCCATTATTCTGTTGCAGTACATTTTGTTAAGGTGGCTCTATGAGGTTCTACAACCTTTTATTGAACATGTGTTTGAACTGCTTGAAATCTATATGTGACCATCAATTAAAAATTCATAAATAACCCCCATATAAATCATCAGCATTTGTAAGGTTAAGGTGGCTCCATACTATCTTTTAGATGGAAAGGAAAGGAGTAATTGGCAGTGTTGTTTTTAAATGTATATATATTATGGGCATTCAATTAAGTAATGATATTGTTGAAATGATATTTTCATCATAGTATATGCAGTTATACAGTATTTTAACTCACATAGGATGTTTTTTCAGTTTTTGTATTTTTTGTACCTGTTATAACATTTCATTACATTATCTTCCAAATTTCCTAGTATTATTGTTATAAGGCATAGGTTATTCTTTCAATGAATCTTTCTCCAATTACCCGATATTTTGACTTGTTAAGGTGGTATACTGTATACTTATATTCCTATGGTGATTGTATACAGTGGCGTAGCCAGCATCGATAATTGAGGGGGCCCATATTCATATATTCATGTTAACAGACTGTAAAGACAATTAATTTGAAAAGAAATTAAACCTGCGTATCACGAATATATGAATATTGGCCCCCCCAATTATCGTTCTGGCTACGCCACTGATTGCATATGGTTTTATTTATCCTGGTTAAACACATGTTGCAGATCTGGAGGTTTGTGCAAATCAGGCCCTAGATGCTAAATCCTACATGCCCTTTCTTGTTAACTCCAGACTTGTCCTGATAAATCTCTTATAGAGGAATTTGCCATTGCCACATATTTGACATATCTATTACTTTTTATTGCAGGGTTTCTTTAAAAAACAGTAGAAACAAAACAAGATTCAAAAACACTATTTATTACAATTATTGACGCAATATTTTAACAACAAAGTCACATTATAATTTTATATTACCTATACTTACAGCTGTATAATTTTGGAATGAATTGTCCCACGATTGTCCCACCAATTGTCCTACATGTCCCATATTATTTACCAACCACACAAGAAATTCATTGTTAAAATAGAGAGGGCAGTTGTTTTTGAAATAAATCAAAATAGTTTGACTTTCTCTTTCTTTGTGTTGTTTGTTGAAATAGATTACTTAGGGCCTTTTTTATTACTGATCTTCAAGCTTACTACACATAACTATCCACCATCTGCAACCCAAATGCGAGTTTACTTGTATCTGAAACTATTGTTCATATTTTCCAGGATGTGTTGGAGACCCAGAAATAAAAGCGTTGACATTTGAGATTTTTATTTTATCACTAAGTTAATTCTAAACCACTAAAATCAGTATATTTCAATATGTTTATACATTAATGTGTGACTGTGCGTCACTCCTTCGCACTAGTAAAAATGTACGCATGGGAAATTATATCATTCAAAGTACCAAAAAAATTGAACGAACACTCACCTGTTGTTCTTCTTTATTTCAAGGAGCTTTTCGCCTATTCAAATTCTCCAAAAGTTCGTAAAACAGCTGTCACTCGACACGAAAACTTTACCAAACTTGTAAATTCAAAATGGCCGCGAAGCATATTTTAGCGAAGGCCTGGCCTAGGTAGCCCAAAGGTATTTGTGTTTTAATCTAAAGCGTCCATCCAGTTTAATATCGCGGTCTATGACGTAAACACCAATTGCTATATTTGTATTATAGACCAATTGCGAAACTTAGTGACCGCGCCTTCGTGCAACATGGAAACGAGGCTTATTATGCAAAAAACAATATTTGTATTTTTTACAGTACAAAGCTATTCGCCGAGTTATATGCCG